CCATCCACACAAGGCCCTGGGGCACCCAAGCAGCGCAGCCAGGGCCAGGCACCAGCGTGCTGCAGGCCTGGGTCCCGCAGAGCTCCAGGATCCCTCCGGAAGGGGCTGCCTCCCTCAAGTGCATTTGCAGAACTTGGTGCCATCTTTGAGCGCTGCCAAAGCCTCCCACAGGCTCGGCTGCAGGCGCTGCCAGGAGCTCTCGCAGATGTACCCGGGAACAAGCCCCCGGTGACAAAGGCTGCCTGTGTGGAGCTGCTCAACCTTGATGCATTAGGATGCATTATAGGAGCGCTGCCTTTCCTCCCAAGGCCGGCCCTCCCGGTGGCACCTCTCCCAGGGCAGAGGCATCTCTTTCAGTGCCAGCCTTTGCGTGCCAGGAGGTGCCAGGAAGTTTAGAGGCATTACTGGCTCTCTGTGTATTCGAGCCCCTTGGCTTCCGAAGTGCAGAGGATCCCTTCTTCCCGGGAGACGCTCCAAGGTGGAGGGGACTCTCTGTACTTGGGAGAAGCAGCACACAAAGACCTCTTGTGAGGGGGCAGCTGGGCCAGAGTGGTGAGGCCAAGCCAGACGCTACCTGGGGGGCTCCCCCTTCCTCCCAGCATCACAGCACAGCCTCCAAGACCACAGAGCTTCTTGATCTTTTCAGTCTCGAGCAGATACAACTGGGCAGAAGCCAAGCACGCAGCCCGGGAGCATCACATCGGGCTGTCTGAGCATGGAGGAAACCCATCTGTCAGCAACACAGCAAGCCATGTGCCTCTGCAGCGCTCTCACCACGGGCAGTGCCAGCCAGCTCCCTCCTCCCCACAGAAATAAGGGAAACCGAGTAAAAGAAGGCTTTTCCCTCTCATTTCACAACAGAGAGCACTGGGACCCCATCACCTCCTCCTGTTCCCCAAGTCGGGCAGGAACACAAAAGAGCTCACAAGCAGCGCTGCCACCGAGCTCTGCCCCAAACCCCCCCCCAGGAATCCTGCACATGTTTTGCTTTCCTTGGCTGCTTGGAAGCTCGAGCACTGCTTCCTCCATGGGCCCCAGCTCCATGCCAGGCTCCGGGCTGGCAGCACCCGCTGTCCTCAGCAGCACACTGGGTGGGGAAGCTCGTGGCTTTCATGCCCAGGCCAGTAATTTACTCCAGACACCAGCTCCCAGAGCTTGGGTTTGGATCAGTCAGCGCCGCCTCTCCTCCCCTGCCCTGCAGAGTCAAAACAATTCTGTGCCCATTAACTTCACTGCAAGAGCAGAACAGAGCCCTCGCGCTCCCCTGGGGACATGGGGAGAGGCTGACAGAGGAAAACAAGGCAAATTGAAGGCTACGATCAGGAAAGCATGTGCTACTGCAGCAGTGTCAGTGGGAGGGTTGTGAGTTAGGAGGTCCAAGTAAAAGTGCAGTTAAACCCCGAGGCAGCAGGGCTGGCACGCTCACCGAGGCCGGGGTAGGTCCTGCGCTTGCTGAGGTTGGCCGATTTCACCAGGAACATGCAGGACTGATGAGTCATCCAGGAGCAGAAAACCAGGAGCAGAGCTCCCAGGATGATGCCGCACTGCAATGGGAGAAGAAGGGGGGGAATGATCCCAACAGGAGATGGAAAATCAGCCCAAGAGCCACCCTCCTCCCCTGCAGCCTCCCGCACGGATCCCAGCCCCGCTGCTGCCTGGGAGCAGGCAGGAGGAGCAGGACGGGTGCCAGCTCCTGTTTGCTCTCTGCACAGCCCAAGGACAACACGGAGCAGCCACCTGCCCCCCCCAGCTTCCAGCTGCACCGACTCCAGCACCGAGGGCTGAACCAGGAGCGTTTATGGAGCAGAACCTCCACATTCCCTCCTTCTCTCTCTGCAGGCTCGGAGCACATGGCCCAGTCCTGACCCTGAGGTGCACACACTGTTGTAAGCTGATTAAATGCAAACTGTTTGGGATGTTAAAGAATCACGGAGCTCACCCTCAGCCCTGTCCCACCCCACTGGCTCATGCGTTCACAGCGAGGGGGTCCTAAACACCAGACACACTTCAAGCAGGTGGTTTAAATCAGATCTTAAAGCTGCTGCCTCTTTTGCTGTATTCAAACTGGTGTTTCCATCGGGATGGCAGCAGCTCCAGGAGCAGAGCTCAGTGTAAGTGCAACTGGTTTGAAAATGCCTCTGAGCCAAAACCTATTTATCAGATGCATAAATTCCTCTTTTTACCCTTTTACTCACAAAAAAAAAATAGGGAGAAATCACGGAATCCCAGCCTGGTTTGGGATGAAGGGACCTTAAAGCTCCTCCAGCTCCAATGGCAGGGACCCCTTCCACTGGAGCAGCTTGCTCCAAGCCCCTGTGTCCAACCTGGCCTTGAACACTGCCAGGGATGGGGCAGCCACAGCTTCTCTGGGCACCCTGTGCCAGCGCCTCAGCACCCTCACAACCTGGAGCCCTCGGGACACACAAAACCACGCAGCTCGGTACCAGCGGCCTCTGCTCCGTCCCGCACCCACCCCCCGCACGGGAGGGCTCTCGGCCCGGCCCGGTGGGCGCTCACCTGTCGGAAGCAGAAGGGCACGGTGAGCACGCTCACCCCCACGATGCTGTTCACCACGTTCATGATGAGGCCCCAGTTGGAGCCCGCTGCTGCCGCCGCTGCCGCCGCCATGGCCCGACCCCGGGCCCGGCTCCTGGGCCCCTCCGCGCCTCACCCGCCCGCAGCCGCCATAGCGGGACCGGACCCGCCCCGCCGCCGGCACCGGCCACAGCGGCACTTCCGGGTTCCGCTGCTCCGCTGGCGCTTCCGGCGGCGGACAGAGAGACGCGCGGGGCAGAGCGGCGCCGGGTGGGACGCTCCCACCGGCTGGGAGGACCGAGGTCCTCCGAGTACGTACAGGCATGCAGAGGTGCATGTAACTGCATGGAAAGGAGCACACATGCATGCACATGCCGGTAAAGGCATATAGGTGCATGCACATGCCTGTAAGAACATGCATGTAAAGGCGTGCACAAGCCTGTGAAGGCATGGAGATGCATGTGATGGCATGCAAATGCGTGTAACTGCATGCAGAGATGTGCGTGTGCATGCACATGTATGTAAAGGCAGGCAGATGCATGTAAATGTATGCACATGACTATAAAGGCACGTAGATGCATGCACATGCATCCAAAGGCATTCAGGTGCATTTAAGTGCAATCACATAAAGGCACACCCGTGCATGTAAAGGCATACACAAGTGCACACACCTGCATGTGCATGCATACACACACATGTACACATGCAAATGAACACACACGCACACACACATGTACACGGATCAGCAGGTCCGAGCACCCCAAGGATCCTCTCCCAGGGCCTTCACGGGGTGCAGATAACCAGTGTGTGGGTGCTGCACCCTGAGCCCTGCACCATGGCTGGGTGCCACGTGTGCCAAACCCCTCCGAGCACCCACACAGCCACCGAGGTCACTCACCCAGCACCAGGGGCTCCTGGAGGAGCAGAGCAGGAGGGCAATGGGGGGCTCCGGAGGCTCGGGGGGGGCGCACACCCCAACGGCGCGCTCCCGTTGGGATGGAGCACGCGGCGCTTGTGTAATTTGCAGCAATTGCAATGGGGAACCGCAGGAATTCGCCCGACAAAAGGTTTGCAGGAGGTGAACACGCCTGGATAATTCCCTCCAGGTGCCGGCTGCGCTCCCGTTCCCTGCGCTGGGGAGGGAGCAGATCCCAGGCACAGGATGGGGAAGGCAGCCCCTATATCCAGGGACACCCAGAGAGGTTCATGTGTGCCCCACACAGAAGCTGCCCCAGGCCCCACATGGGGCGTCCCTGTAAGGGGGGTGGCCTGCAGCAGTGTGTAAACATGCTAACCTCACACATGTGTGTAAATGCACACGCAGACCCACATGCCCACATGCGTAGGCACCTCCATCTGCATGTGCAAACCCATGGGCACACACGTGTCTATGGGGCCAGGAGCACCCCACAGCCTTTCACCATGAGTTGTAGGCGCTGGTGTGGGGCTGGGGGCAGTCATCTCCCACCCATGGGTGCCCGAACACTTACTGGGGATGGCAGAGCTGCAGCCAGGACCCGTGGCAGGACCCACCATGGTGGGATGGGAGAGCACCTTGTTATGGTGCTGGGACATCTGCAGTGAGTTAGAGGGGAATCGTGTTTATCCAATTGACGTTACACAGCCCCAAACTCAGCACTGGCTGGGAAAGGGCTCAGGTGGCTTCTGCCCATGAACGCCAGTGGCCCGGCAAGCACCAAGAGCCACCAGCCGTGACCCCAACGTGTGGGAGCAGGACCAGCCCCTGCTCCATCACCCTGCAGCCCCAAGCCTGTCACCAGCACCAGTAAGTGGGCTCAGGGACACGGTACAGCGGGTGGCACAGTGTTCCCAGCACTCAATGGTGTGGCAGGCACAGACAGGGGTCACCGGTACATGGGGATGCTGATGTGTGTGGCTGGGATGGGGCTGCCGGCTCCCCTTGTGTGTCAGGACAATGTGTTTCCAATCGCCGTGTCCCCGGCCCCGCTGTGATCCAAACCACCTGCGGCCGCTCGCATGCAACCCATCAGCTACCGGATAAACGGATCAGAGGCAGCCCCACGCCATGAGCCGGCCACTGAAACAGCGGCACCGATGGGGCGAAGCAGGGGCTGGTGCTGCCTGCAACGCCCTGGGCTGGGTGGGCTCCATCCTGTCCCCAGCAGCACCATTGACACATGTAACCCCTCCAAGAGAAGCCTGCTCCTCCAGTGGCACCCGTGGTGGTCAGTGGCATGTACCCATCTGCCGCTGTCACCTCGCTGTGCCATGGTGTAGCCATGCTCCATAGACCAGCATCACAGTGAGGGACCCCCCAGCACAGCCCAGAGGTGGGTGCAGCTCAGTGTCCCCATGGGATCCCACACCCTGCCCTGAACCGCCCCACTCCCCGATGATAGATCCCTGGCAGAGCCTGGGGGCAAACCGGCAAGTGCTTAAAAACATAAATTAAAACAAATTGCGGTTTTATATTGCAAATAAGGGCAGTTTTATCGGTTTTATTGCATAACAACCATTAATGAAGTGCAGTTTCAGGCACCTTAATTGCTCAGAGACTAAAGTTCAGCCCCTATCTCTGGCACGGGCTGGGATTCCCATGCATCAGGAGAGAACCTGGTGGATGGGAAATGGAAATCAATGCACGGCCGTTATCAGGGCCATGGGACCCGGGTCACCCGCAGGATCGACCCAGGTGGGGATTCAACAGCTCAGACCCTGCTGAGGGGACACAAGGGGTTATGGAGGCTCCCCGGGTGCCACCCCAATGTCCCGGCACATGAGCCATGGGGTGCCCACGGGCCCTGCAGCCCCGTGCTCGCCATAGGGCGGATTTTGGGGGTCGGTGACCCCAGGCTGCGGGGAAAGCAGACCCACGTGGGGACCGCAACACCCCCCGCACAGCACACCGCGCCGCCGTACAACCCCCGCGGGGCCGTGGGGTACGCGCAGCCCCACGGTACCGAGGATTCACCGGTGGGGGCACAGGCGGGTGCTGCGGAGGGGGGATCACGCACCATGCGGCCCCGCCCGCCCCTGCACGCGCTGCCCACCCGCACGTACCGTGTGTACGGAGCCGCACCGAGCTCCACCGGGCAGCCCGCGCCCGCCCGCTCCGCGCCACGGGACCAACCCCGCCCCCGAGTGGGCGGAGCTACGCCATGGGAACGCCTCTCCCCTGCGCGCATGAATGGACGCGTCCCGCCCACCCCTTTATAAAGAACCAGGAGCGGCTCTGACGCCTGCATTCATCCCGCCCCTTCGTCCCGCCCCCTCTCCTCGGCTCAACCAATCAGAGCGGCGCGCCGGGCCCCCAGCCGGCGCTGGCCTTTGTTTGTGGAGGGAGCCGTGGCCAATGAGAGCGCGGGAGGGGGAAGAGAAGACCAATGGGAGCGCGGGGAGATAAGGAGGCGGGGCGGATGGGGATGGCCCTGCCCGGCCACGTGCGCGCGGAGCCGCCACCGCCGGGCCCGGGGATACGGAGCGGTCCCGGGATGGGCCCGGCCCCGCCGCCCCCTTCCCCCGGGAACAGCGAGCACGGAGCCCCCGCAGCCGCTCCCACGCGTGACCCTGAGCCCCCAGCCGTGCCCCCCCGCAGTGCCGTGCCCAGGCACCCACCGGCAGTGCCAGCCCTCCTGCCCCGGCAGAGCCGTGAGGCCATGGTGAGGGGCGGCCCCAGCGCCAGCCCCGTCCCTCGGGTTCCACCCTGGTTGGGTCGTGGGCCGGGGCTGGTGCTGAGCAGGCACAGCAGCAGAGGTGACATGAGGGGTATGCCATGTGCCAGTCTGCATGCTGGGACCTGACTGTGCCTAGGAACCACTGGCAATGAGAAATGCGCTTCCTACCCAGCCACAGCACCAGGCTGGCCTCATACTCATGCCATAGGGTTGCCCACTGCCATACCATGCAGCCAGGCTGGTGCATTCAGTCACTCCCGGGCTGCCGGTGGTGAGCACGGCTGCTTGAGATGAGCCCTTTGCTGGAAAGGTGAAGGTCACGACTGGTTTTACCATCGCAGTCAGCTCCCAGCTCCTGTGTTTGATGGTTCTAATCCCCACTGGTGCTCCAGGATGCTCTCCATCACGGCAGGGCTCAGCCTTGTGCAGGCCACGGCACTGCCATTCCCATTCAGGAGCCACGGCGGTGGTTGGTGATGGGCACATCAAGGGGTGTTACCTCCATTGCCAGGTTTGCTGGACACTGCCTGCACTTCTCAACCCCTTTCCTGTGTCCTGCCACCACCAGTCCATGGTTACACCAGCATGGCCGCAGGAGGAGCCATCCATCCAGGCCTGCCTGTGATGCTGCCCAAACCACAGGCAGCAGTACCAGGCAGCAGCCAGGCAGGGGTCAGCCCCAGGGTCACCGGTGAAGGCAGGGATGCCGGTGCACCGCAGGCCGGCACCGCCGCGCTCTCCTGCAGGCAGGGAAGCGCCGGAGCATCTCCCCTGGCTCGGGGAGAGAACAAAGGAGGGCATCTGCGGCAGAGGGAGTGCCGGATGTGCTGCAGCGCGGCTAATCCGCCCCGCAGCCTCCCCGGGGCCCGGAGCGCCCCGCTGACCGGCACGGCCCTCCCGCATGGCTCCGGGCACCAGCAGCACCACAGGGCCAGAGGGATCGGTGCAGAGCCCAGGGAGGGAGCCCGGTCCCACTGCAGCCCTCACAGCATGTCCCATTCCATCCCGCCATGCGCACCGGTATCACATTGGTGTCCACCGCGGCTAATGCCGCGCCATAAAGGAAAACATCTCCCGTTAACCACTTTTGTCACCAAAGTCATTAACATAATAGGACTTGCACCTCACAATTGAATATTAACGCTCCACCCGGCTGCGGAGTGAGACGGATAATTGCTCTAATACATTTTCCAGTAGGATTTTCGCGGCGCAGCAGCAATTGCATTAGCAAAACCTGATTATTACCAGGCCGATACAATGGGACAGGCAGTGGGAGGGAAGTTCCTGCCGTTTTCCTTGGGACCCCCAAGGAAAAGCAGCCCCGTGCCCCCTGCACACAGAAGCCTCCCCAGGCCCAGGGCAGGGCGTGATGGAGGTGACGGCAGCGCTGAGCTGCCTCTTCCCTCCCTCGGTGCCTGCAAACACGACCCTTGGTCGCCAGCAGCCTTGCACCACGCAGCAAACCTGCAGCCAGCTGGAAACCCGCCTGTCCCGAGCGCCAGGAGGCTCAGCCGCCTGCATTGCGCCATGCCGTGCTGTGCCGTGCCATCCTGTGCCATGCCGTGCCATGCCATCTTCATACTGTGCCATGCCATTCTGTGCCATGCCCGGGTGGGCCATGCAGGAGCAGCAGCAGGGTTGTGAGGAACCCTCCAGGCTTCCTTCCAAGGGGGACCAGCAGCTCCCAGGAGAATGAAGCAAGGGAAGAGGCTCCAGCCAAGGCAGGCAGGGAGCCGGGGACCCGCTCAGTGCCAACACACGCTGCATCCTCCTTGCTGCACCTCTAAACATGCCCAGGCCAGAGGAAGCCCCCTCTGTGCAGCCCCTGCCCTGCAGCCCGTCCCTGCAATGGCACAGCCCCAGCCTGGCTCCTGACGGGCTCCCCATGGCCCCTGTGCCTGCAGCAGCTCCAGGCCCCCCGGGTGCTGCGGCAGAGCGGGAGCACCGGTGTGGGACAAAGCCCATTGTCCCCAGTACAAAGGTGGCCACGGGGCCACGTGGGGTTGGGGGAGCATCAATTACCCGGCTTTAATTGCACTCGGTTGGACTCGCTTCATTGAGCAGCTTCCCTTGGGGAGCCCATGCTTGGGGGGGGTGCCCACGGGGGGGGAATTGTACCCACAGTGGGGGTGTCTGGTGACCCCCTGTGGGGTTGCCCATAGGGAATCTGCCCATGCAGAGGGCTGCTGATGGGGAGGAATTACCTGCTCACTCTGCCCAGGGATGGAGGCTTGGGCCTCCCAGGGCTCCCACCCAGTACCGGGGAGCTTTCCCACCCCCGCGGTGCTCCCAAGGGCAGGAAGAGCCTCGCAGCCGCTGGATTTTGCTGATTTGGGGGTTTTTCTGCAGGTCTTTTCTTGCAGAAACCCTTCCCCAGCGCTCCCTGAGCACCAGGGACCCAATAATGCACCGGCCCCAACCCACAGGGCTGCTGGAACCCAGCACACGTTACCCTGACACCGGGAGCCGCACCAGCGCTGGGATCTGCACCGTGCTCCCATTCAGCAGCAATTCCATGCGCTGGGTTCATCTGTAATGTGATTTATCAGGATGGAGCCCTTTCCCAGATGGAGAGGGATCCGAGGGGGATGCCTCAGCACGGTTCCCAATGCACGGTGTGCACACCCCGGCAAGGATGCTGCAGGGGAGTCGGGATGCAGCCAGCATCTGTGTGCTGCAGGCTTCCCCCTGATGCAGGCCCAGAGCTCATCCCTGCTCCGCTCTGCCTCGGGCTGGGAACCCCACGGTGCAAATAATCCAGGCAGGAAAAGAGCTTCTTGGGGGCAGCAAACAGGGTAGGGGGGTCCCAGCACGATCCCCCCCCTCCAACAGCCCCGCTCCTCACCCGGGTGCAAGCGAGGTCCCTCCGGCACAGCGGTCCTGGCCCCACGTAGCGCTGCCGGGACCGCACCGCAGCCTTCACCGCAGAGCCATAGAGGAGGCTGGGTGCTGGTGCAGTCCGTGCTCGTCCACGGCAGTGTCCCCGGGCTCCCTGCTGCAGCTGCACATCCCATGCACCAGCGCCTGTCCCCATACATCCCGGTGTGCGCGGGTCCATCCGTGCCGTGCCGGAGGGTCCCCACGGGCTGCGCCGCGCTCCCCGGCCGCTCACCCTCCTAACTCGATTGCCGCCCCGGTGTAATGAATAGCTCCCATGTAATCGAATCACTTTTACACGTTATTTGGATTTATTTCAGCATTTTCAATCAATTACAGCCTTTTCTCAAAAAGAAAACCCCACCACAACACACGGGGCCCCAGTGGGGACTCGGTACCGACCCCGGCCTCCCCATGCTCCTCTGCTGCTTGCTCCCTGCCCTCCCCACTGCATGGCCCCCGGTACTGCACTGCATGGACCCCAATATTGCACTGCCCCCCCCCACTTTGCACTACGTGGTCCCCCAACATTGCACCCCCTCATTGTACAGCCCCCTAACACTGAATTCCCCCACCTTGCACTACATGGTCCCCCCTCATCTCACTCTCCCTTCCCACATTGCACAGCCCCCACAACATAGCATCCCCCCATTAAACAGCCCTTTAACAATGCAGCCTCCAGTGCACAACCCCCTAACATTGCACTGCCCCATCTTGCACTGCACGACCCCAACATCACATTTCCTGCCCCCCACATTGCACATCCCCCTAACATTGCACCCCCTATTATGCAGCCCTATAACCTTGCACCCCCTCACACCACACGGCCCCCTGACAGCACAGCCTCCAACATACACATGGCACAGCCCCCCAACATTGCACTGCCCCACAATCTTACACCCCCCATAATACAGCCCTTTAACCACAGCTCTCCCATGGCACGGCCCCCCAACATTGAACCTCCTCATTGCACAGCCCCATAACAGTGCACCCCCATTCTACAGCCACATTGCACCCCAGTTCTACACCCCCATAACATTGCACCCCTTTATTGCACAGACCCATAACATTGCACCCCCGTTCTACAGCCCAATAGCATTGCACTCACTTATTGCACAGGCCCATAACATTGCACCCACATTCTACAGCCCCATAACATTGCACCCCCGTTCTATAGCCCTATAACATTGCATCCCCGTTCTACAGCCCCATAACACTGCACCCCCGTTCTACAGCCCCATTAACATTGCACCCCAGTTCTACAGCCCCATTAACATTGCACCCCCGTTCTACAGCCCGCTAACCGCAGCCACCCCATTGCACACCCCCCCTTGCACCGCACCCCCCGTTACACAGCCGCTCCCATTGCAGCCCAATCGCAGCCCCATCGCAACCCCATTGCAGCCCCATCGCAGCCCCAGCCTCACCGGGTCCCGCTCCGCTCCCGCCGCTTTGATCCCGGGCTCGGCCGCGCTGCCGGGTCCGCCCGGGGGGGGGGTGCCGGGGGTGGCCTCGAAACCGCCTCCAATTCCCCGCGCTCCCTCCCGCGGCGGGGGAGC